CGGTAACCTGGTTGCCGAGTTCACGAAGTGAATTGGCTTGTTTTACAACGTCGTTGCCAAGCGACGAAACCCAATCCCGATGGCAAACACCGGGGGGGGCGGCTTGTTTTACAACGTCGTTGCCAAGCGACGAAAACCCAACCCCGATGGTAAATACCGGGGGGGGGGAGTGATGGGGGGGGGCTCATTCCCGTGTAGGTGTTGTCTGTCCCAGCAAGTGCACAGGAAAAAGTGATGGTGGATGTCTGTGCTCTGGGACGGTTGTTTCGGTTGCTGTTCTTCTTTTACGCGGATGGGTGTGTCATTGGTCGTCTCTCTGTTAAGTTTTACTACCAACCGTGTGGATGCATGTTTGACAACACCGAAAGATGCAGTGTACTGTGTACTGTCTTTGTCGAACCGTCTCGCTGGGTCGGCGCGAAATACGTTCGTGTGGCGTCGACGTCAGAGGGTGGTTTGGTCGGGCTACAGCAGTAGCCTGATCGTGTTCGTGCGGAACGCCGCTGGCGGTACCCGTGTGCCTTCCCCACCCCCAAGAAACACTCCTCGTTTCTTGTTAAGTGCCTCTCCAAGAGAATGGATGGTCTCCTTCGTGGTCTTTTCGCTCCCTCGTTGTGATCCGTTCAACTTGTGCTCAGGTTCTGATGTGCTGGAAAATTGTTGTAAACGACAGTGAGGAATACTGCGATAAGCTCTACGGTATGTTTCTACATTGGATATCGTCATCGTTTTTTTTCTTCTTGATGGCTCCACAACCAGGAGGGTGCGAAAACAGAAACCCATACAAAGTCTCGGGGAAGCTCTCGACAGACTAAAATCCAAGAACAAACCTGGAGGGTGTGAACACAAACCTAATCAACGTCTCGGGAAAGCATTCGACATACCATAACTTTCCGAACCAACCCTTTTCTCGTCCACTGGTGGTGCTGCCGTCCTGGCCATGGGGCAGCAAAGGTTTGAAAGCCGTCAATACCCTTGTGCGAACCTTCGCATCCTTACGGTACACGCATCAGATCCGAAAATCAAGCATGGTCGACCCTTTGTTTTTTTTTCTGTACTTCTCGCCAAATAACCACAATCATTCGCGAGGACCTACTTTATATGACCAACAGGCGACAACACCAAACGCGACAATTTCCTGCCTAGAAAATAATATGTCTCATCGAGCGCAGCAAAAGAACCCAGTTGTTGAAGCGCCCTACACGTGGTTTGAACGGCTGGCTCCACACTATTATCTGATACGCTCTTGATGAAGACGTGGTCAGCCTCCACTCGAAGTGTCGGTAGCAGCTCTACGCCAGCCATTGGTTTTAATAACGTGCAGTATGACAGCCAATGTTCTCGGTGGCAAGCCGCTTGCTTCACTAAGCAAAAGGCAATAACGCCTTCTCTATCATTTATTATCCAGGATGGACGGGGACACACATATACTGCCCCTGTTCTTGGCGGTTGCTCCTGCATATCGGGCCAAGATTCTGTTGGACGTTGAGGTGCGCTTACTGGCGTCTGTTCTACAGACTAGACTTTTTACGTAAATTTCTATTCAAACGAAAACCCGATTTATATACCACCCCCCAGACTCGCACGCACATATAGCCCCTGAAGAGTTTTTTACAGAAAAATTCTACTGGTTCGGATCACCTGATATCGTAGTTCCAGTCATCGAACCCCCCTTGCGTAGTTGCATGCACCTCCTACTTGTGTTTCTCACCGCCGAATACAACAAGGCCGAGCTGAAGCGCGGAAACGGGTAACACGCCACAACACTCGCATCCTCCCCTAATTCCAGCGGACCACGTGTTGCCGCTGGCCCGCACGCTCGCACGTTTCATTGGTTTACTCAATCGCACGCAACAACAATTTCAGCGGGACGATTTCTAACCCACCGAACCTCTTGGCGACGCCGTGCGTGGTAAAAAAGCCGAGCGGTGCTCTCTCGTCCTCCTCGACGTGATGGCGTGGTTACCACCACAGCGATGCCGCCGGTGTGCCCGTTCCCCCGCCTACATCGCCCCTCCCGCTGAACAACCTCTGCTGCATGAGGCCGAAGCGCACCGGAAGGACCGGCGAAGTAGGCGCTCCTTCTTCTTGGTCTGTCGCTTCGCGGCGCTCTTCCTCCGCCATTGCCGCTGACTTGTTATTGCCAGGTTCGGTGCTGGCGTCTTCCCCGCGAGTGGATGGTGCAAAAGAAACCCGCCTTCGAGTGCTGGTGCTGCTAGCGCGACTACTACTGTTGTTGCCGTTGGCCGAGGAGGGGACGGAGACGACGCCGCTTCTTTTTGACGTGTCTCGAGATAGCTCCTTTCGACGCCGCCAATAGGGCATGAGCGGGGCACGCCCTTCGTTGGATGTACGCGCATGACGGTTGTTGACACCATCGTCGCCGTTGTCGAAGTCCCTGGCTCCTCCTACCCCTCCCGTTGACGACCCTGATGGTGGTGAACGTTGACTCCGCGTGCAAGGGCTGCTGCTTCTGGTGCTGTCTCTTCCTCTTCCCCCCACTCGCAACAGCATCTGGACGGGATTATCAAGGACGGACTCTGAAAAGGGGGCTTTGAGGCAGGAAGGCCTCTCAGCGGTCTTCTTTTGTCGGACTTGACTATTGCCTCCATCGCCGCTATTCCCAGCCCCAGCCCCTGCCGCAAAGACTTGTCGAGAGCGCACCGTTTTGAGCTGGTCGACGCCCGATTCCGAGAACGGTGCCGCTGCCACAGGGGAGGCGGTGGTGTGCTGCAGCTGCTCCGCCTCAGCGTGGCATTGATGGAGACCACAATCTCCGTCTTTTTCGCACTCTTTGAGCGCTTCGAGTAAGACCGGCGACACGCCAGGCACGAGCGCAGACTTTGCGTGCCACGCCGTCGTCGGGCGGGGTGGAAGAGGAAGGCCCGAAATGGCGGCGGCGGTGGCAGCGGCGGCGGTGGCGGCTGAGCCTGCGGCCGGGTCCTTGTGACGCGGAGTTGTGCCCTTGAACCCGGGCAGCGCGGAATAGGCTGTCGACGGGGGCAACCGTTCGCCCGGGGGAGGGAGCGCCGGCGTGAAGAGGGATGGACCTATCGCAGGCGACGACGACGGCTGCGCCGGCGGCGACGAAGACCACAGTGCCGGTGGCAGCGAAGACGACGACGATCCCTTTCTCTTCCCTCGTCGTCTCCCTTCCTCATTACCAGAACAGCTCCTTCTCGAGCCCGTTTTGTTTCGGCGACCCTCATCCCCGCAGCCAACCGAGAACGGTCGCGGCGCGGAGGCTCCGTCTCCCACATCGAAACCACCGACGTCCTTGAGCTCGCCCTCGTTTATGTTGGCGTTTCTTTTGGCGCCGGCGGTGCGGTTCTTTCCTCCTCCCGCTGCACGGCGAAGGCGATTGTTGCCGCCCTCGGCGTCGGCCACCGTCGCAGCTGCCACAGCGGCGGCGGCGGCGGCGGCGGCGGGTTTGAACCTTCTGGTCGAACCGAGCTTGCAGTGCGTGCCTCCGGTGGCCTCCAACTTCTTGCGGAGGGCCTCCCGGAAAGCGCCTCCGCTGCACTCCGGGACGGATTGCTCGACGAAGCCTCCGACCAGGGTCCTCGCCGAGACCGCCGAGCCACGCCGCCGGCAGTTGTCGTCGGAGTCTGGAGGTGGAGCTTCGGAGGAACGGTGGCCGTCACCGGGGCCATGGGCGTGGATACCGCCGTTCCGTTCCTGCTGCCCTTGCCGTCCTCCCAAACGACCCGAGGCGTCGCCGAATGCAGCGTCGCCGCCGGGAGCAGTCCACGCAGTGCTTCTACTGACGACATCGGTGTTATTCTGCACAATAGTCCCTACCGCCGCCGCCGCCGCCGCCGCCGCCGCAGCAGCAGCAGCAGTGGCAGCAGCAGCAGTCCTTCCTTCGCCAGTCAGCAAGAGGGACGGCCGCGGCGGAAACGGTGCCATCGGTGGTGGATTGCCGGGAGAGGCACTCGCCGCGAGCAATCCGAGACGCTGATCGCCACGGCAATCGTCATCGGAGCGAGTGGCACGGGGCCGGGGGCTTGACATGGACGCTGACGAGTCGGCGGGCAGAAGTGGGTGCCCGGCAAGGGCAGGGGTAGTAGTAATGATGTTTCCCCCCTTCCCGGTGACCGTTGCGCCTCCGGTGCCTTGCACGCTTCCGCTTGTGGTGGCGGTGGCGGTCGACAACACCTCGCTCGCGGCGTCGACGGCCGCGTCGTAGAAGCGCTTGAGCTCCTTCAAAGACGCGGCCTTCCTCTTTTTGGTGCCGCCGGCCGTATCTGCCTCCGAGTCTTTGCCCCGCCTTTTGCGGAACGGCGGATTCTGGCCGGCGTTCACCTCCCGGTTAATCCGTCGGACGTTGCGTCGCATAAACGAATACCTGGCAAAGGTCGACGCAGATTTATCGCTGCTGTCACTATATGTTGTGGTGGGTACTGTTGTCAAGACGCTCTGCCGAAACTATCGCTACAGTTGTTGCAGCTAGCTTCGGGTGTAGGGCTTCGGTGATTTAGACGTGCTTTCGTTTCTTGTAAGCTGGCGTAGGGACGTTTCTTCACACTTTGCAATACCCGACGAACACGCCATGTTTCTTGTTGTAACGCATAAGGAATTTTATTATGTCGCAAGCTTATCTTCTCTTTCGAAGCCTCGGACGCTGCCACTAACATACTGCTTGGAAATCGGACCTGTTCTTCGATTTTCCCAAGACGTGTGTGGTGACCAGTGATGATCCGAAAAATTCCTCGGAACCAGCATGACAGCTGCGCCTCTCCGCGCCATACTCACCAATGATTCTTGACTTGGTTGTCCGTTCGTCCAGGTAGATGCTTGGCGATCTCGGCCCAGCGGTTCCCTAGCTCTCGGTGCTGCTTGCTCAGGATGAACTCTTCCTCCTCCGACCACTCGCACTTACGAATAGTAGGATCTGTGTCGAAAAAGAAAAACAAGAGTTGCATATTCCTGACGCATTTGGGGGTGGATGTGGTTTGGCACACGTCATGCAAAGAAAACTTACCATCCTACGCAGCACTGGGTCAAGAGAGAGGAAAGTACTCGAGACATACCCACACAGTTGACGACCATGGTACTATCCTATACGAGTTATCTCATCATGTGTCAATAGGAAATCAAGGAATAGCTTGGCTTTCTCATGCCCTCTCACCTCTCTCACTGTTTTAACCACTCTTGCAGTCTCTCTTTGTAAATAAGTTGCATTCCGATATGGCACATACACGACACGCCTTTTTCATTGCTGAGTCCGTGAGCACGGTCGGTCGACGATGCGAATAAAAACGACCGCCCACGCCTCCAAACGTTTGAGCCCGGTAGCTGGACCATATCGTTCAACCTCCTCTGCGCCCCCCCCGTGCTCGTGGAGTTTAATGAGCACAAAAACGACGCGCGTGCTTCTTATTCTCCTGCTAGACGTGACCGACGAGCCGATTGGCGCGGTCGATCCAAGCTGAAGACGTACAGACCTAAATGGTTGTGCCAGCGCTCCCAGCACTGCTTCCCCGATCTGCCCTGGTTGTTGTTGTATTCCAGCGCTAGATTCTCGGCTATCAGGGTCCAGCCAGAGGTGCCGAACTTCTCCACAAGCCTGCGGACTGCGTCATCTTCCTCGGCGCTCCATATCTGTCTGTTTGATATGAAATTGCGTGCCCCACGGCCACTTGCAGAGGGAGCAAGCGGGAGAGACAAACCGGCACGCAGAGATAGAGACAGAGAGAAGCACAGAGAAGCACAGACAGTTACAGCGACAGAAACAAAACACAGAGACGAAAACAGAGACAGACACAGAGACAGAGACAGAGACAGAGACGACAGAGACAGGGACAAGGATAAATGATGAAAGTCTTTTAGGCGTTGGTCCACACTGTACTACTGAGCCACCGCCCACTCGTGTGGGCTAAAGAAGCCTTGTTCCGGAGGCTCCAAGGGTCCGTGGCACACCCACACGACAAAGGCATTTCAACCTGAGGTATAATATTTGTATCATCCCAGGAGAGATGAAAGGAGTACACTGCGTCATGCGATTATCAGATCCTAGCGGGGCTCCGAGAGAGATGCGTCGGTGTACGCGTGTGTTCAGTACGTGACTGGTGACTGGTGCCGTGGTCTGACACGACTTACGACTGCTGCAGCAGCCTTTTTGTGAGCGCTATGTATGTATAACGGCGTTGTTCCGTGGCGAAAATACACACGAACGTTATACTTTTCACAAGTAATGCGGGGAAACAAAAAATTTGCGTACGTGCCGTGTACACTGGTATAGACTAGTCTAACACAGCACCAGACAGCTACAACTATTTTTTGTATGAGCTGTATGATCGGGACCCATCAGAATCTGAGCGTTGAGGCTCAGGCTGTCTTGCACACACACACACATTCGTGGTGTATCTTTAAAAGGGTAGGGACGTATCCAGTCTCACCTCTGCTTTCCAGCTACCTTTTCTTCTGCCGGAGGCAGAGGCAGCCGTGGCAGAATGCGCGAAAATTCTCGCTCGCTCATGTCAGTTTGATTAGACCTCAAGTTAGGTGCAGCAGCCTAGACCACAGCAGTACCCTTTTGGCCAACGCCTGCATACCTCGACCGAGCAGTCTGGTCGAGGGTTGGTCAAGGATGAGTTTTGTGAGTAGACTACCCAAAGTATTTCAAACTTTAGCTTTAAATCCCTGTGGGACACAGCAGCACTATTTGGCCTCTCATGAGAGCCGCGTATAAAACGTGCGGCGAAATTAATTACGTGAAAATGCGGGGCAATTAATACCGAAACTACCCGAAACGCTCGGCGAACCGGCAGCTCGGTGGACGTGGCACGTGACACATGAGGCGGTACGAAGGAGAGATGACGGAAGGAGAGATGACGTGGTAGAGATCAAAGAGATTCACAGATAGACCCAAGGCTGCTTGTACATATGAATATGCCGATGTGCCTTTCGGATTATGCGATCGTCACACCTTTGAAGTGCGTATGTATGTCGTCTCCGCGCGACCAGAGAACTTGCAACAGCGGCATACCTGGGTATGCTGTATGTAGCGGCTGTAGGCGGGTTCCGAGCTAAAGACGCCAGCCCGTTCCTACCCGCGGAAAAAAAAAATGACTTCGTAGATCGCCTTGAAACGGCTACAAAAGATGTTTTAAAAAATGATTCACTGACGCTATGGATTCATTTCTAATCTGTCTTGGACTCTTTCAGAGATGGATTCGTTGTGTTACAGACTACAAATATAATTGACCTCGCGGCTGACACACATCGTCTTCTCTGCTGATCGCTGTGTATCCAGGTGGGTGATTTCTACGTGTTGTATCTTTCGCCGTACTCCGTAACATGTCCACACCACTGCTCCACACGGAGAGACCAACTGCCACTCGCTGCTACTGCTGACCTTCATGACGGATGCTCTACAACGGGATTACGACATGGTGGCGACAAGAGGTCTCGGCGAACCGCTCTGAGGAACACCAGGGAAGTTGACAACAATCGCCACATTGGATGTATATCATTTGAACACTTTCCGTGCTCTACTGATGCTGATTACCAACACCAAACATGACAAGAAACCAGCTAACACGATACAAACTGAACGCTATGCCCTACCTACCATGCACCAGGTGTTCCATTCTCTTCTACTGTAAGCATCATTGATACGCTACCCCAAAGGGTCAAATAGTTTTTTTTGTAAATTCAAAAAACGGCGGGAAACACCTGCTGCCCGTGAAATTCAAAAATCTCTAGGTTTGAAAAACGAGTGATGTACTGCTGTAGCCTTCTTTCCATCTTCCATGATTTTTACATCAATATTATATATTTCTCCTTAAATTCCTAAAACCAGCAAGCTGTCAATAGACACTGCGCCGTGTCCCCTGTGAAGGTTACATCTTACAGTACACGACGCTACGGTGGGATTCTCCCCGATATTTTGTCGTTGACCCAGTAGAGAACTACAGGGGATGTATTGTAAAATGTAGATTTACCTATACAGATGTTTTTGTACTTAGCACCAGCTGGCATCACTGATTAATCATCAGTGTATAGACGTATAAAGACTCGGAATAAGTCCAGTACCCAGTCGGTTTTCCTCCACTTACTGAAAAGACTCCACCACATCCCGTTCGACTGTGGGTATATCTCGAATGGGTAGTCTTTCTGTACGTATATATATTTCTCCTTAATATATATCTCCTTCGGCCTGAACTTGGCCACTAGTTGTTATTGCTCCGCATTCTTGGTGTTCTAGCTCTGAGAACTCGGCGGAAAACGCTTCCCCTCTTGGTCGAGTTAGGGAGGGCAGAGCCACTTAGAAAGTTGTTCAGACAAAAAGCAGTGGTGGGAAGCCGGCTTGAAGTATGTTGCGAGGCCAGGGTCCACTGGTTACGGGCTCGGGCCAGTGCAAACGCATCATGTATGCTGGGGACTATCAGACTACTGTACACCACCCTTGTGGACAACAAGAGGAGCAGCAGCGTAGGTGCCTCGAATACCTCTTACTGTGCACCTAATGAACGGGCTTTGTCCAAGTTGGCCCGCGAAGAAGCTCACGGAATCATGTCGGGCACACGAAAAGAAGCTCGGAGAACGGGTTTACCACAAGCTGGCGGGGGTCGTGGGGCAGACGTTGGTGGAGACTTATTTCTTTTTTGGTATGAAGCGGCAACAAAGAAGAACACGACTATCTGGGTGCAGACTAGAAGCACGACGGACGAACTATTATCTCAATGCGCTTGACGTCGCGATAGATGCGCACCGCTACCGCTTTCCGAACGAGCAGACTGTTGTCAAACCTGACTACGATAACCGTACGACCATTGCAGCACATTCCGACCACAACAGCAGCAACCGCAGCAGCAGCAGCCGCATGTGTACAACGGTCACTCAAGAACAAACGCAAAAGAAAAAGACAAAAAGATGTGGCGCGCAGCACGTAGGACCCTCGTTCGCTGTTCCACCGGCCGTTTCCATGGCGAAACAGGCAAGGAACAGTCAAGGCCGACTCTTGCCGGTCACAGGAGGCGGAAGCTGCTCAAACTCGGATGGGACCATGGTTTGCCATTCCCTACCGAACCATACTTGAGGCGCCACGAGATTTTTGTTGTAGCTCGAGATCAGCATTTGAGACCTGGCCGGGCAAGGGGTGGGGGTTCCACACACATACACGGATAGCGGAAATTTTTAAACCCGTCTAGATCTACCCTCCTTACTGCTGCTTTTTCAACGAATGGTGGTCTTGGTAAAGGCACCAATCGACTCATCGTTGCTATCGCCACCCACTTGGCGCACGAAGCTTTTTGCCGGGGGAATTTCGAAGACGAAATAGCCTTAGTTCGCCTGAAAGCTTTTCATACTAACAGGATTCGGAGACGGTT